GTTTGGTTAAATGTCCAAACAGGAAGTATAAAAATATCCCTTGCATGCATTTATAGGCTAGGTACTACGAGTAGCGAGAAAGCCAATAGACATGACAAATACTATAAAAAAGGCCTAGACCCGAAACGACCCCATTTATATTGTGGGAGACTTGAACTATCCAACATAAATTGGAAAAACTATATAATTGCACCTCCCAGACAAAAAAACACAGGTATAGAACTCTTTGAGAAGATTCAGCGCAGAGAGACAAAATTTCCCCTACAGTTGAAACAGTTGCCATATCCGGAAAGATTACTCAAATTCAATTTGACATACCTTAAAGAAAGAAGGCACAGAGGTAATTTAATTGAAACCTACAAAATGACCAGTGATTACTATGTGTAATCTGATAAATATTTTCCATCCATGTCGAAATCCTCATCTTCGTGGCCATTCTAAAAAACTTGAAAAGGAAACATCGTCAAAACTACCTAGGAAAAACTTTATAGTAAACCGTGTAGTGCATTCTTGGAATTTGCTTTGCCAAAATACCGTCTCAGCACTAAACACTTAATATTTTTAAAAATCGTGTTGACAGAGAATTGAAAGAATACTGAGAAAGAATAATTCATTATGGTGCACAGAGAGGTTGTAAGTAACAAGAAAAAGTACTTAAGTATCAAGTACAAGTTTCTTTTTTAATACTAATCAAGTACCAGTACATGTATAAGTACGGAAGGAAATACTTAAAATATCAAGTAAATTAACTTGAATTGTCCAAATTCACGTACAAGTACCAAATTCCACGAAAGTCAGAGTCAAGTTTAGGTATTTACTTAAACTTGCATACTTGAAATGACATTTACGTAGAAATACTTGAAAAAATAATTTAAGTATTTTTTATTTCAAGTATTGTTCGAACTGAACTAACAAATTAAATTATTGCTATCGATAATCTTAAAGGGGGTGTGACACAAAAATAAAAGTTTCAAACAATAAAAATCCAACAACAAATTTTCAAACCGCACCAGGCTACGACCAACCGTAGCGAAGGTTACCGTGGTAAAAAATCCCCACTTCCCACTCCTAGCACTGTGACGTCATATGCACAAACTGAGTCCGACAGCCGGCGCTGGGGCGCGTTTTCTGATTCTTGTTGCATATATTAGCTCTGTTCCAACCGACATGAGAACAGTTCCAGAACCCCCATTTTCGACATTGTGGTATTGTTTTTGCGTTCTCACACCTATTGCTGCGTCAGTTTAAATAGGTTTTACAATTTTTGCGTGTGTTTATGACGTCACGTGATGAATAGACAAAACTTAATCCAGTCGTCAAGTAAATTTTGAAGTATTTAAAAATACTTCAATAAAAAGTATTTATTTCAAGTAATTTCACTGGTACTTAAGTAATTTAACATCACTTATGTTAAATTACCTGCTAAGTACAAATTTTCAAAAGATTTCAAGTAAAATATACTTTATTAGTATTTTAAGTATTAAGTACAAGTAAAATTAGAAAAACTTGAACTTGCAAGTACAAGTACCAATGTTTAGATTAGTACTTAAGCCTCGACTTAAGCCAAATACTTGAGTATATTTTTGTACTTACGTATTTACTTCAAGTATTTAAAATACTTAGTACAACAGCTCTCATGGTGCATAAACTAAATCTCATATATCCTTTTAAAATTTGGTTAAAGTAACAATAGCTTCATCGGTTTCACCAATATTAGTACTTCAAAAACTTTATATTGCGCCCTGGTCCGCCCTTTTTATAGTGTACACAAGGACTCTCTTCAACTGGTTGAACACAAATTGTTGAAACAAATAGCCAATGAACTCAACATTTTGGATAGTTATAACGACACCCTACTCCTACTACTCTCTATGCTAAATATGGCCCCGATAACTATGCGTCATAAGAGGAGAGACCTCACAACATTCTCTAATATTTTACATGGGAAGGCTTCGACTCCCGAAATTTTTCATGAAATCATCCTTCATGTCCCTCCTAGAACTACCAAATCTACTGGCAGTTTTCATGTCTCGACTCATCGTACTAATTATGGACTTAATAGCCCCACAAGATTGACCTTTTTGCTCCCATAAACATTTTCCTCAGTCAAGTTCGTCATACTTTTAGGTAGTTACTTCCAAATTTGGATATGGATGGATTTGGATTCAATCGAAATTATTTGTACTTTGTTTATACAAAGTACCTACAAAAGTACCAAAAGTAAAGAGTAGTTATACTCTTTACTATTGGATGTGATTTTTACTCATTTTCACTATGTGTTTTTGTATTACTTTTGTTATTGATTCTTGAGGAGTTAATTTTATTTTAATTTGGTTATTATCCTCAACTTGTGAATTGAGAGTTTAACATTCTGTGAGTGGGCTCGCCCATTGATAAATAAATAAATAAATTACCATCATCTGATAAATCGGCTTTGTTGAATGCTATGTGAATTTTCTTTTGCCCAGGTGTGAGTATTGTGATAATTTAAAATTCCATCTGTGAAGCAAAATTCATCAGTAGATAGAATAGAGTGTACAAAATTCGGAGACTTATGTTTGGATTTTTTGAAAAACCATTCACAAAAACGAACTCTGCCAGGAAAATCTTCAAAAGAAAATGCCTGTACACGTTGTACATGATACGAGTGAAGCAAATTTTGTCGGAGGGTCCGATGAACTGTTAAGCTTGAATATCTAACTTGTCGGGCAATTGACCGAGTTCTTATTTATTCCAGGGCTATCTTCTACTATCGCTAAAATCTGTTCTTTATTGGCAGGTGTCATTTGTCTTGCAGGTCCCCGATTACCATTTTCCACACATAAACTTCCCGTGTCACGCAATCTTTGCGAAACGGACCCAAATGTTTTTTCGTTAGATGCCCTCCTATTAGGAAATCTTTCCCTATAAATTGTGGCGGCTAAACGAGCATTCTTTAACGATTCTCCGTAAACAAGTACTTTATTATCAAACATTTTATATGTATTTTCAAATTATAATAATTACGCGCGTTTTCAATACTTCAAGTAACTGACAAATCAATAATCAATTATCGGTTCAACTACCTGAATTATCTATTCTTTTTTTTTGTTGTTATGTTGCCAGATGTTTAGAAACCGAATTACGAGTAACATTATTATGTTATTTTTTTTATTTTTAACTACCTATTGTTTTTGACTAAAAATTCATAATTACTTAATAATAAGGCTCGTACAGCATTTTTTTTATTACATATTCTAAAAGAGCGTATTGAGTTTAGCAGTTGTGCAAAATTTCATAATTTTCCGAGGCCTTGTTCATATTTAAATAAATTATCAAAACGCTCCAAATTTGAAACACGCGGTGACGTCACTGCATCTCTCAGGTTGGTCGTGGTGGTGCTGGTCCGCACCTGGTACGCCCGTCACCACCCCGTCACTACGACATTACGGGCATTGTTTTGACCAGTTTGGACAAGTTTTAGTTTGGCATTTTCCCTATCTGGTAGAACTGGATGTTTTTCTTTCGAACATATTCAAGTATATTTGAATAATTCCCTGACTTTCATCACTTTATGCACACAATTATAGAAGTAGCATGCAAAAAGTAAAATTATAGATAGTTCCGCAAACTCGGAAACTGTGTCCCAGTTGACATTGCGTTATGTAAAACCGTGTGTGACGGCCTTTAGCTTGTCTTGACTCGAGAGATGACGTCATACCATCTCTCAGCGATGAATTTCTGAGGCATAATGTTTTAATATTCAAAGACGCATAACTTTTTTAATATATATCCAATTGAGATGAAATTTTTTTTGTGTGCTACATGTGAGTGATACTCCATAAAAATATGAAAAAACGTGGTTAATGAAACTTCAGTGAACGAGCCTATTAAATTTTTAAGATCTCATAGTAATTACAGTTTTTGAATCTTGTATCTCTTCCTCTACATCTACAAGTCTCAATATTTTCGTTTATATTTAAATTATATTATTATTGAAAATATTTAGGGATTTTGAAACCCTAACATCATGTAGAAAGACTAATAATAGGTAAATTATCTATTTTTTCCCTACCTATAATATCTACTAGTACAAAAATTTCACCCGAATTTAAAACCACTGTCAAATCATATAGGTATTACGATGACACTTATTGTATATTGTAGATAATGGCTTTTTATGTTACCTAGTATGTAAGGTTTTATTGGTCAAGTCTGGTTATGGATGAGCGAGCTTGGCTAATAAAAGGACGAGTGTCTATTATAAAGCCTTATTTTTATGTAAGTATGGAAGTACGAACGTTAGTTGTGTTGGATTTCTTTCGATTCATGATAAAAATGCCCAACAAGTTCGAATTAGTAATTTATGCAACAAGAATATAAAGTAATTTTTTTTTGTACGCATACCTATGGAATGTTTGAAATGAGTAGTTGTGAAAATTGTATGAGAGCAAAAAAAAGCTTATACATACTCGAGTTGCATGCATTATTTTTTCTAATACATTAATTTATTCATTTTGTATAAAAGCCTATAATATTTGTGAATAATAATTTTGTTTTATATGGAAATTGAAATACAGTGAATTTTCAATCTGAGGTAGGTATTATACAACATATAGGTATAAGAAATAAATAAAAATGATGGTATTCTGATATTTATAGAAACGATGTATTTTTTCCCATTAGCTAAATACCAACTGAAGTAACAGTTAAGTAATTTTTATACTTTCCTCTCACGTCAAATTAATAGTTCTCCCTGCAACTATGGTCAACAATCTTATTCAAGTATTACCCAATAGTCAATAATTTAGATAACAGAAGAATAAAGTTATAACACTTTTAATTCTTTCGACTTCACCATTTACCCAAGGTAATCTATTACCCAGCAGTTATCTTGAAATAATTTCTTCTTTACAGAAATGGTAGTGGTAAATACTTGAGATACCTCTATCCGTGATTATTATTTTTTTAAATTTTCAGCTTTTCGTGGAACTAATTTTCATTCAACAATTTATTTACAGAGAAAGAAGCTGGACGCCCATGCATGGACACTAACTATAGACATTATTGACGGTTGAAGGTCTCGATGTGCATAAAAAATAGTAGTGAAGTCTGTTTTCTTTGGACATAGAGCCGTTGAAAAACGGCGCGTAGTTGTTAAGGTGTCTACGGATCGTAGTGGAAGTGACGTCCGCTCCTCCAGGCTGTCGTATCTGCAGATGGGGGTGTTTGAAGACGGTGGCGGAAGGCACACCTCACGAGGAATGCACTGGGTAAGAATTCAATTTTGTTTTTGACTATAGTTTTACTGTTTGTGTATCCATCTCTGCAGAAATACGCACATATACGAATAACGCTGTGTGGGAATTTTTACTTTCGGGACAAATTATGTCGGCACAAATGGGTGTCCGATTGTAATATTCTTCTCGACATATACATGGTGATGGTGCATTACATTCCTTTAACTGCTGACGGAGATTTTACATCAGAAATTAGAACTTATAACAGTGGCGGCTCGTGGTCTCCAAGTAAGGGTAGGCGATAAAAATTAAAAAAAGCAGCCGTGGGCGATTTTTTTTTTAGATTTTCAAGGTTGCGGCCTCTCCAAATATTGTATTAAATAGTCATTTATGCAACAAGTGTGTAAAGCGAACCTTTTTTCACGAATGTGAATTTTGACGCACGAGCCGAAGGCGAGTACGACGATCACATGAGTGAAAAAAGGTGCTTTACGCACGTAAGTATTGAATACAAATTTTTTTCTACTACCAATCAAATATGTGTAAAAAATAAATTTAGACAAATTCTTCACGCACTAGTGCGTAAAGTATTTTCACTTTACGCACTAGTGCGTGAAGTAATTTACCAGAAAAATAGTTATTTGACAGGTCGACATCTGTCATTGACATTACTTTACGCACTAGTGTGTAAAGTGCACTAGTGCGTGAAGAGAAATTTTACGTCTTCTGAATAGTGCGTAAAGTGAGTACTTTACGCAAGGTAGTAGAAAAAGTATTTTATTTACAATCATACATGTAATGTTGACTTTACTGACTTTTAAAAAATTCGAAATTGTCACTTTTTTGACTTTTACTTTCGACCCGTGGGCCGAAAGTAAATGAAATTTTTAAAATTTATTGTATTTTTTGACTTTTACTTTCGGCCCACGGGTCGAAAGTAAACTTTCGACCCGTGGGCCGAAAGTAAATGAAATTGTCAATTATTGTATTTTTTAGTTTTAATTCAAATAAAAATTTCAAAATTCGAATGATTGTAAATAAAATAGTATACATACCTCGGTGAAAAGTTTCATTACTGTCTCGAGATTTTAGTTAGACCTCGGCTGTGCCTCGGTCTAACTAAAATCTCTCGACAGTAATGAAACACTTTCCACCTCGGTATGTAATATACTATTTTATTTTTCCATTTTTTCTCCAGGGTGGCGGTGCCTACTTTGCCCATATGGGCGAACCGCCACTGACTCATAATGACTAAAAGCTTTATAATAAATACTTGCGATAACTCAATAAGTTTGAAATATTGTGTTATATTTATTTAAAGTTTAAATTAGACTGATAATGATGTAAACAAATTATGGCAATTAATGGGTTTTAGGTACAAAATGCAACACAAATCACAAATAATACTGTGCTTTTATTAGATCATTCAATCACGAATAAGAATATTATAGTACAAGATCACGACTTGAATTTTTTAATAAAAAATTATATGTAGGTACAGTGATCGCCAAAAAGTTTGCAACAAATGGGAAAATATTTTGTTATTGAGGTATCAGAAAAAATGTTACAATTCAGCCTAGCCATCAACAATAAAAATCACTGTGACAGATGTCATGCGTCCACAGTCATGGCGGAAAATTTAAAAAGTTCGCCTCAAATATGTTTAAAGTGGGGTTAGACGACCAGAGAGTATTATTAAAAAAGTTTTTTTTCTACAAACGTGTTAAAAATGCAATTTTTAACACGGCCCCGAAGCATTAAAAATGTTACTTTATCGCACTAGTGCCATAAAGTCTTTATAGCACTAGTGTTAAAAGTGAAACATCAAATTTTGAGAGCGGACGTCAAAAAAAGTTTGTATTTTCAGTTATTTACATTGATATTAATGGTGAAATTTGAACAACTGAGGTAGCCCGATTGGCCGCCTCATCTATATTTTTCGAAGGATCGATGCAACCCTCTGTTTCTTCTGTATCTGACCACGACAGACTTTCAAGAAACTGACAAGACATTTCGTTACCTGTAAAACAAGGTGCTAGTTGTATGGATTTTTTGACAAATGTCAAATTCAAGAATTTTATGTAGGAAAGATGCTTCCAATTTATTATTCATTTAAAAATCCAATCTGTTAGTGGTTATTGCTTTTTATTGCCGTTTGTAGAAAAAATATTGTATGATATTTGTGTTAAAAGTATTTTTAAGGCACTTATGTGAATTGCAGAATTCGCTTCGCTCATTCTGCAAACTTTCACATGCGTGCCTTAAAAATGTACTTTTAACACTTATATCATAAATAACTATTATTGGTATCTTGAAAACTGTTGGGTATTGAACAATAGCGCAATGATCACTTTTGTTAAGGACGACTCCCTATACACAATATCAAAAATTCAGCAAAATTCCACATAGATCACTTTTCCATAAGAAATGTGCGGGGTCCTTTATTACTAATAGAGAGTAAAATATGCATATAAAAAGCCAAAGTAGGATTGCCACTTTTTTCCCTGCAAAAGTCCAGGTTGTCAGGTGTCAAAAGGTAACTTCGAATAAGTATTTTGTAGTTATCGAGTTTCCTTATATAATTTATATGAAAATATAGATAATTTAATTGCGAGCACGATGGTATTGGGTTGCCAAAGCAAACACCTGCAGAACCAGAACCTAAGGTTTTGCAATACTTGAAGTTTGAAAATTGTAGAAGAGAAAAGCGCGCGACAGAGAAGTATTCTTTGTCTATACGCTGGAGAAGGAAGCCGAATAGAAGTAGAAGAGCAACTAAGCTGGAAACATTTGGGATAAACAATTTCTTATGATTTTTTTATCATTATTTTTATTATTTATACACACTGCGCTTGTAGGAACACGAGGCTCTGTGTTAACTTGGTTTGTGTCTTGAGTTTATAGTAAAAAAATTAAAAAATTAAAAAGTGTTTTTTATGTGGTGGAAGGGAACCGGATTTTTTTAATTTTTTATTTCACTACTATGCTTCGTGTCGAACATGAATGAGACCGATCTCCGATCTGTAATCAACTTGAAATGCCTCCGAATAAGAAAGTGACGCCATTTGTTCAGAGCTTCTACAATTGCTAGTGCTTCTTTTCAACTGCTGAGTGGTTTTGTTCACTATATGAGAGTTTTTGAGAAAAACGCAACTGGTCGTCCAGACTGGCTTAGAATTGCTGCTATTGAATGTTCGGGGGCGTCAGTTTCACTTCCACCACAAATGGAATATTTTCTTCAATAGCAGTGACAGCTGATTTTGCTACCTACTTCAGTTGTCAAGTGAAAATCGGTGATAGCAGGCCCTTGCATAGGGTTTCTGGTACTAACAATTCTATGAATTTTCTTGGAGAAACTAGGTAGGTATCCATTTAGAGTCATGAGCAAACATGCCCACAGCTCTTTGAAGTGAAACTTTATCAGTTGGTACTGGCAGATTCTGCAGAGGTTCAAGTCTTGCAGGATCAGGTTTAAGTGTTCTGTTTCCTATAAGATATCCCAGTAGTTTAATTGTCTTTTTGTTCAACGAACTTTTACTTTCATTTATAGTTAGGTTGTTGTTGTATCTACTTTCTAACAGCTGTCAGAAAAGCTGCTAGATTTCCTTTGTGATCCTCTTGATTTTTTCCAAAAATTGTTATATCATTGAGATAGGCGTAGACGCATTTTAGATTCTCTTGCCTGATTATTGTATCTAAGACTCTTCGAAAACAAGCTACGCCGTTAATCACACCGAAAGGAATACGATTAAACTGGTACAGGTTTCCATCTGCTTCAAAAGCAGTTAACTGTTTTCATCTCTTATAGGGAATTGGTGATACGCACGTCAAACTTTGAGACTGCTCCTACCAACCCTTCGATAATATTAGGTGAAGGATAAGCGTCAAGATAAGTAAACTTGTTGATTGTTTGAGAATAGTCAACAACTATTCTCTTTTTATGATTTTCGTTCGTTGTCACAAGAACTTGTGCTCGCCAGAAAGACGTACTTTCTTCAATGATACCTTCTGCAAGAAGCTTTTGTACTTTACTTGAAATAAATTTGGCATTATCATGTGAAAATGTTCTTGATTTTGTAGCGATGTCTGTATTGGCAAATTGATGATCAAGAATATTGAGGATGACAACGCCGAATCCTTTGCTTTGTACAAGCAGAGAAGTTTGAGCCATAGACACGTAGCTTTTACTTGGTTGATTCGGGAGATTATTGAATAAGACTCATTCAAGTAAGTCTCAGAGCTGCCAGTATCTATTAACGCATCTGCCGAGAACTGATTGATTTCTACTGGCACCACAGTTTTTGATAAACTCCAGGAACAGAAGCCAATGTATCTCTAATGGAAAGTTCGCGATGTTCTTTGCCAGTTACGTTTTTGAAGTTACAATCTTTGCTGAGCTGATTCAAAATTTGAATGTACTGGCTCATGTTTTCTCCATGTGGATTTGCCCTCGTAGAAAGAATATTTCTTGCAAATGCTTCATTTTGGGGTTTTATATAGATGTTATCTAATATAGTCACAGTATCAGCGTAGGTTTTTGCTTCAGAAACGTATTCGAACACGCTGTGACTTACATAGTTTGTGAGCAGCTGCAGCTTTTGTGCTTCCACTACATCCTGAACTGACGACATGAACTCTGGCATGTAGTTCTCCAGTGACACCATTCCTTCGCCGCATTTGATGAGCTGGTACCAGTATCAAACCTTTCAGGTCTCAGGAGCTTGTCCATAATATCGATTAAATTGTAGTTATGCAAATACCCCAGAAATAAGGCTTTAATCCACAAAATTAAGCATAGGATTAATCTTGAATGACTTACAAATATACATACAGGTATGATGTCAAAACATAAAAGTGTATATCACCACAAATCATTGAAAGAATAAATAAGAAATGCTAATGCCAGGACGTCGAGAGAGAATTGCAGGATCTTAGTTTCACTCCATCAGAAATCCAATGGTACAAATCCGGACCATACAGGAATAACGATACCGACGTAATTAAATTTTTATTTCCTCAAGAACAAGCATATT